TCCCACAACACACCCAGGGAAGAGCGGGGGCATTCCAAGCCAGGAGACTCCCAATGGTACCCAGTCGCTCAGCGATCTCCCTCTCCCCCCCCCCCCCAACTGTGTATCTTCCCCTTTTTTTTGTAACTAGTAAACTACACTATATTCTTCTCTCAAATTCTTTTTTGCCTTTCACTACCTACCTACCACTACTCCTAAGGCTGCATGGAGGGGACCCCTGCAAGCAGAGGGCCTCATAAACTTAAGAGGTATTCGTGTTTCCCCCCACCCCAACAGTGGTAGTCAGAGGTGGTGTGGGGCCGCCGGTGGGGGTCCCGCTAACGCAAAGACCGAGCATTTTGCCAGTAGCCAGAACTTGATGGACATTTAGAATTTAATAAATAATAAGTCATAAATAAATAAAAATTGCTTAGTATCTCTTCAGCCATCATGCAGGCCTCTGAGTGTAGTTTCCTTTAAAAATTACTAAATAAATAATTTTATAAATAATTAAAAAATACCCAGACCTTATCCAATGACTATCCATCCATCAAGGTTCGAACGCATGAGCTGTTTATCAACAGCTACGTGTGTGTAGCATTCAGCCACAGGTCTGGGTAACCTCCATGTGCATCTCGAAATTCATAATCTCTTTCCGACGTTTCGTTGTTGTTGTTGTTTTTTTTTTTTTTTTTTTTTTTTTTTTGTGTGTGTGTGTGTGTGTGTGGTGTGTTTGTGTGTGTGTGTGTGTGTGTGTGTGTGTGTTGCTGTCTGTATGCGCCTTTTTTGTGTCTCTGTCTTCCCCATCCCACCTTCTCCCTCCTCCTCTGATTCTCCAGGCAAGAGTTGAAGATGAAAGTCTCCGTTACGTCTTGTCAGACACGGCACTCGTTGCAATTGCAGCCAGGTGCCCTGAAACGCCAGACCTGCTGTTATCTCTTGTGATCGCCAGCAATCGACTTCCGCAATCCGATGGCCCTGGCTGCCCGTCCTCAGCCCTTGCAACTCCCTCATGCTTATGGGCTGAGTCAGACCCAGCTCCTTCACATATTCTTTGGAGATGTGCACCGCACCTGTGCACATTGATTTCGTCCATACGAAAAGAATTTGGGACAGCGAATGGGGCTGATCTGTTGGGTACAGGGGGACTGAAGAGCGGTGGTGCGGCTGGAGGAGATGGGGGAATCGATGTCGCGGGTGAGGTTGGGCAGGTGTCACTCTGGGGCTGGCTCGGGATTCGAACTGTCGCCAACAGGATCAAGGAGAGAGACCGTTTTGTGCAGGAAAAGCTTGCTGGGCTCGGTTGTGAGCGGAAAATGGGGTCTCGGCGATGGAAGAAGAGGGATCAAGCACGTGCTCGCGAGCTTTTTGTTCAGAAATTTGCTTGCAAAGCTCCTGTCTATCATAATTGTAGGTATGCTTTCCCCACGGACTGCCGCTACCTTTGTTGCTTCGTCTGATGTTCATACGTCTCTGTTCCCTTTTGAATCTTTCCTTTTTTTCTTTTTCTTTTTTAAATGGATTGGACCTTTTGCTTAATTTGGATTGAACCATTTTTTCAATTTTCTCAAGTGTTGTGAGCATCATCCTGCATTGAGCCTCACTGCTCGACACCTTGAGCACACACACACACATTGAGAGATTACACGAGATCCACACTGGAGTCCGGAGATGCAAAGCCCAGATATGCGCAACTTAGAAATTCCAACAAATTATCACATTAAACAGTTTCGGAGATCCAGTCACCAAGCGCTCAACAGTGCAGAATTCAGCAACCCAATAGCAGCACCCTCATCTAAGGTAGGTGACTCTCCTCTCTCCCTGCCTCACTCTCTCTTTCTTTCTGTGTCTTCTCTCTCTCTCTGTCCCTCCTGGTCTTCTTCATCTATGCTCTCTCTCTCTCTCTCCCCCCCCCTCTACTTGAGAATCTTGCCTCTGAATACATCCGCTGCTACTCAGCTCTATCCCTACCACTAACTTATGCGGCTATGGCCGCCTTCCCTCTCAGTGCAGCGCTGCCGAGCAGGGCTCTTCCGCGCATACTACTCGCAGATAGTGCACAAGCGCTTCAACAACACTTCCACACTTCTCACGAATGAGCCATCTCCCCTGAAATGTGGCTGGCCAGTCCTTATATTGACTTGGACTGCCTCAACTTGTCCCAGCCTCTGCTTCCTTGGGCTTGACTTGGACCCAGTACCACATGCCCACGGCCTGCTTGCTTTAGAATGTCAAGGCCTGGTACTTTTCCCGAATTTTTCATTGGTGTGCTGCTGCTTGAGTCTGTGAGTCACGACTTTTCATCTGTGGAACATGACTTTTGACTGTGGGATGTGTCTCTTGCCTCTGGGACACGACTTTTGCCTGGAGAAGTGTCTTTTGCCTGTGGGACATGGCTTTTCAATATGAGACGTGACTTTTGCTTACAGAATGCAACTTTTGCCTTTGGGATGTGACTGTTTACCGGGTGCCTGTTGGACTTGACTCCTAAGTACCCGACTGTGACTTTTCTGAAACTGAGCGACTTGGCCTCCCTTGGCCTGAGACCTTGACCCTGAAATTCGAATTTGGAGTCTGCATCGTGGAATGCCTTTCACTCTCGCCGGCCTAATTTCAAGGTCCTCCGAGAAAGTTACAATCTTTACCTATCAACTATGTTGATTCCTCGCCTAGCTCTCTCATAGCAAGACACTATGTGCGGTGCTGTTTCAATTAGCTCATCCCTAGTAAACCAGCGATCTTCAGAAGACTCTTGATAAGCGAATCTGACTTTATACTGCCGCTGGGGCCTACCCCTGCGTCCGGAGCTATAGACATCCTCATCAACAATGCGGTCGATGTCATACTTGCCATCCATATCCGGAGGAATCATAGATCTGCGAGATGGAAATAGCTCATTGCTGACAAAGGGAGTAACTTGGAAGCATGAAACGCCGAGTAAGTGTGCAAATGCGGAGTAATCTCAACAATTTAGGAAGGACCATCCACATCACCAATCACGTCTTGAATCTGCCATGGTCCCCTATACGCAGGCAATAACTTCTGCGAGATGTGCTCCTCTGGAAGAAGCTCTTTAGACTTAACCCAGACCAAATCCCCTACAGCAAACTGCGACAGTCTGTGGTGCTTACTGGCCTGTTCTATCATCTGATGTTGTGCTTTTGCTATGTTTTCTCTTACTTTTTCTCTGTCCTTTTGATACTGCACAGCAAACTCTCTAGCCCCTGGTGGAAGTCTTTGCACTTGATCAGGGTTACGACAATCGATGCTCGTACGTGGGCGCCAACCTAAATGTAGTTCCATGGGCGTCCGTGCTGTAGCCAAATGCACAGAATTGTTATAGGCACTAGCGACCTTAGCTAGATGTTCATCCCAGTCAATCTGATCTGGTCGGATGTACATACGCAGCACCTTTTGCAACACTTAGTTCATCTGCTCTGTCTGTCCATTTGTCTCAGGATGTCTGCCTGAGGACGTAGTCAGTTTGGACCCATAGACATTCATGCGCTGTTGCCAGTGCTCGCACGTGAATCTCGTATCCCTATCACTTACAATAGCCAAGGGATGGCCGTAGTCTTTCACCCAATGATTAAATAGTTCTCGAATTGTTAAGTCTGTCCTGGCTCCAGAAGGGAGTGGCACAAAAACAGCAAACTTGCTAAATCTCTCCACTATCACCATAACTTGGCTCTTCCCATTCATACTTCTCACCTTAATGTCCATAAAGTCTTTAGACAAGGAGTCTCCGGGACCCGACGGTATAGGCAGTGGTCTAAGTAAACCAAGGGGAGGCTGTGTGAAACTCTTGTTCCACTAACATACTTTGCAGCCCTGAACATAGGCACAGTCATGTTTCATCCCAGCCCATGTATAGGAACGTAGGAGGTTAGCGTACGTTTTCCTCCAACTGAAGTGTCCCTTAGTGTCGTGACATTCCCCTAGGATTAGACTGCGAATCTCTTCACTCTTTGGGATGCACAATCTGTCGCGCACATTTGTCTTCTCAAACAGCAGTCCCTGGGTCACTCTATAATCTTGAACTTCATGTAGTGTTGTCTGCACCTTGCCAATCAACTGACTATAGACCATACTTGCGGCGCATCGGCCCTGTGTGCTGCGTCGTGCGCGGACCCGAGGTAAGCGCGCACCGGCGCGCACCTTGCACCTGGGTGCGCGATCCGCGATGCGATGCGCACAGGGCCGGTGCGCTGGGGGGTGCGCGCTGGCGGGCCGCATATGCGCCAGGTGCGCACATCATATATATATATATTTTATATTTCCTTGGATGAGAGAGAGAGAGAGAGAGAGAGAGAGAGAGAGAGAGAAGCCGGCGGTGGGAGATGGCGGGAGAAAAGCAAAAGGCGTGATGGTGGGAGAAAACCGGAAGGCGGGATGGTGGGTGAAAAACCGAAGGTGGGAGATG